TGGAAAACTATTACAGGCTCCACAACGAAGACCCATTTAGTGAGCAAACCCTTCAGGCAGCGCAGAGCATTGTGTCCTCCATCTCTGAAGCCAAGAAAGAACAGTGGATCAAACTGATCACAGAGGTCGACATGGGCAGGAGCAGCCAGAAGGCCTGGAGGCTACTGAGACGGTTGAGCAACGACCCCTCACAAACTAATACCCATGCCAACATAAAGGCAGATCAGATAGCACACCAACTCTTGAAGAATGGGAAACCCAACTTTGCCACCAAAGTAGGAAAGAAACCAATAGCCAGGCAACCAGAGATTGAGAACAACAACCTCCATGAACCCTTTACATCTATTGAATTGGACATGGCTCTCAATAAATGTAAAAATGGCAAAGCAGCTGGCCTGGATGACCTACGGATGGAACAAATCAAGAACTTTGGTCCCAAAGCAAGGCGCTGGCTGCTGGAGCTGATGAACAACTGCACTGCATCCTGTCAGATCCCCAAAATCTGGAGGAAAGCAAGAGTCATCGCCATCTTGAAGCCAGGCAAAGACCGTAATGACCCAAAAAGCTACAGACCAATCTCCCTGTTGTGCCACCTCTACAAAGTTCTGGAGAGACTTATTTTGCATAGAATTATGGAAAATATAGACCCCTGTCTGATCCCACAGCAAGCTGGCTTCAGAAAAGGCAAAAGCTGCACATCGCAAGTGCTGAACCTGACTCAGCACATAGAAGATGGCTTTGAAAGGCAGCAGATCACAGGAGCTGTCTTCATAGACCTGTCAGCAGCCTATGATACTGTGAACCACTGCCTCCTCCTGAGAAAAATGTATAATATCACAAAGGACGACCACCTCACCCGCCTCATAAGAAACCTGCTACAAAACAGGAGCTGTTTTGTTGAGTTCCAAGGCCAGAGAAGTAGATGGTGAAAACAGAAGAATGGCCTGCCTCAGGGGAGCGTGCTTGCTCCATCCATGTTCAACATCTACACAAATGACCAGCCACTGCCAGAAGGGACAGAGAGCTTCATCTATGCTGATGATCGTGCCATTACTGCTCAAGCAGGGAGCTTTGAGACTGTAGAACAGAAGCTCTCCGAAGCTCTAGGTGCTCTTACTGCCTACTACAGGGAAAACCAGCTGATCCCTAACCCATCTAAAACACAGACATGTGCCTTTCATCTCAAGAACAGAGAAGCATCCCGAGCTCTGAAGATCACCTGGGAAGGAATCCCACTGGAGCATTGCAGCGCACCCAAATACCTGGGAGTCACTCTGGACCGTGCTCTTACCTACAAGAAGCACTGCCTGAACATCAAGCAAAAAGTGGGTGCCAGAAACAATATCATACGAAAGCTGACTGGCACAACCTGGGGATCACAACCAGATACAGTGAAGACATCTGCCCTTGCACTGTGCTACTCTGCTGCTGAGTATGCATGCCCAGTGTGGAACACATCTCACCACACTAAAACAGTGGATGTGGCTCTTAATGAGAAATGCCGCTTTATCACGGGGTGTCTGCGCCCGACACCACTGGAGAAATTACACTGCTTAGCCAGTATTGCACCACCTGACATCCGCCGGGAAGTAGCAGCCAATAGTGAAAGGACCAAGGCAGAGACATCTCCAGCTCATCCCCTGTTTGGGTATCAGCCAGCACGCCAACGACTTAAATCTAGACATAGTTTTCTAAGATCTACAGAGACACTCGCTGGAACACCTCAGCAAGCGAGAGTCCAAAAGTGGCAGGCTCAAACCCAGCACCTCAACCAATGGCTGATACCAAATGAGAGACTCCCTCCTGGGCACACAGAAAACTGGGCGACTTGGAAGGCACTGAACAGACTGCGCTCTGGCACCATGAATGCAGAGCCAACCTTCAGAAATGGGGCCACAAAGTGGAATCCTCGACATGCGAGTGTGGAGAAGAGCAAACCACTGACCACCTGCTGCAATGCAACCTGAGCCCTGCCACATGCGCCATGGAGGACCTTCTTGCAGCGACACCGGAAGCACTCCAAGTGGCCAGATACTGGTCAAAGGACATTTAACCAACAACCAAACTCACAAGTTTTGTATTTTTCTGTTTGTTTGCTTTGTTCTGTTAGACTGGTTGTTCTGACACGACAAATAAATAAAAGCTATCCTGAGCACCCTCCCTACATGGAGGCCTGCTCACTGACTCCCAGGCTGCGGCCTACGAAGCAAAGGTATGAGTTCACTACAGGGTCCCTTTTAAATCTATGATACTATATGTGTGTGTGTGAATCATATATATATATCTATATTTATAGCTCGATGGCTCTTTGTCAGGAGGGCTTTGAATACGTTTTCTTGCCCTGGTGAAGGGAGTTGGACTGGATGGCCTTAAGTATTTTCTGTTGGTCATGGGGGTTCTGTGTGGGAAATTTGCCCCAATTCTCTTGTTGTGGGGTTCAGAATGCTCTTTGATTGTAGGTGAACTATAAATCCCAGTAACTACAACTCCCAAATGTCAAGGTCTATTTTCCCCAAACTCCATCTGTGTTCATATTTGGGCATATGGAATATTTGTGCCAAGTTTGGTCCAGATCCATCATGTTTGAGTCCACAGTGCTCTCTGGATGGAGGTGAACTACAACTCCCAAACTCAAGGTCAATGCCCACCAAACCCTTCTAATGTTTTCTGTTGGTCATGGGAGTTTTGTGTGCCAAGTTTGGTTCAATTCCATCATCGGTGGAGTTCAGAATGCTCTTTGATTGTAGGTTAACTGTAAATCCTAAATGACAAAATCTATTTTTTTTTAGTGATCGTCACTTGTTGGCCTGATAGGTGTCCAAATTTGGTGTAAATTCGTCCAGTGGTTTTTGAGTTATGTTAATCCCATAAACGAACACTACATTTTTATTTATATAGATAGAAGATAGCTAGGTGGTTTAATGCCCCTTCTCATGGTCTATCTCAGGCAGGGGCGGCTTGTCCATTATGCGAAGTAAGCGCTTGCAGAACACTCTTTTTTTGCCAGGGGCGCAGAGGCGCCTCTGTAAATGCCCCTCGACAGCCACTTGAGGAGCGCCCCTCAGCTCACAACAGCCCTAGCAGTCCGGGGGGAGCCTCGGCTTTCTTGCCTCGCTGCCGGGCGATCCTCTTCCCAAAGGGGCCGGGCCCTTGAGCCCCGCCTAGCCCCTCTCGTTCCTGCTCCACCTGGCCACTGGGTGCGCGAGCAGAGCCGGCGCTCAATCGTTCTCCGCGTTCGATCCCTTCCCCATGACCGGCTCCCTTTCCCGATCCCCCGGCGCTCCACTCACCTCCTCTCCTCTCCCCAATCCGCGGGTGGGCCAAGGGGTGGAGCCGCTGCGCCTGGCCCGCTTTGGGTCCGGAGGCGTGTCTGAAGACCCCAGCGTGCGCACCAAAAGTTGCCTCTTCTCCTGACTTTCTCTTCAGCCATTGGGACCAAGAGAGAGAGAGAGCCCCTCCGGCTGGAGGTATCTCCCACCTCCGCTCCCTCCTTTGTTTTTGCGCCTACCTTCAGGAAAGGTGGGCATCTCCACCTCTCTCTCTCTTGGTCCCAATGGCTGAGGAGAAAGTCAGGAGAAGAGGTGACTTTTGGTGCACACACCGGGGTCTTCAGGCACGCCTCCGGACCCAAAGCGGGCCAGGCAAGGGAGCAAATGCGGCAAGTGTAGTTACTGGGATGTATAGTTCACCTACAATCAAAGCTGGGGTAAAAATTGCTGGAAGAAACATTAACAACCTCAGTTATGCAGATGACACCACTCTGATGGCCGAAAGCGAGGAGGAGCTGAGGAACCTTCTAATCAAGGTGAAAGAAGAAAGTGCAAAAGCTGGGTTGCAGCTAAACATAAAAAAACCAAGATTATGGCAACAAGAATGATTGACAACTGGAAAATAGAGGAAGAAAATGTGGAGGCCGTGACAGACTTTGTATTTCTAGGCGCAAAGATTACTGCAGATGCAGACTGTGGCCAGGAAATCAGAAGACGCTTACTTCTTGGGAGGAGAGCAATGTCCAGTCTCGATAAAATAGTAAAGAGTAGAGACATCAGACTGGCAACAAAGATCCGCCTAGTCAAAGCCATGGTATTCCCTGTAGTAACCTACGGATATGAGAGCTGGACCTTCGGGAAGGCTGAGCGAAGGAAGATCGATGCTTTTGAGCTGTGGTGTTGGAGGAAAGTGCTGAGAGTGCCTTGGACTGCGAGAAGATCCAACCAGTCCATCCTCCAGGAAATAAAGCCCGACTGCTCACTGGAGGGAAAGATACTAGAGACAAAGTTGAAGTACTTTGGCCACATCATGAGGAGACAGGAAAGCCTAGAGAAGACAATTATGCTGGGGAAAGTGGAAGGCAAAAGGAAGAGGGGCCGACCAAGGGCAAGATGGATTGATGGCATCCTTGAAGTGACTGGACTGACCTTGAAGGAGCTGGGGGTGGTGACGGCCGACAGGGAGCTCTGGCGTGGGCTGGTCCATGAGGTCATGAAGAGTCGGAGACGACTGAACGAATGAACAACAATAGTTCACCTAAAATGAAAGAGCATTCTGAACTCCACCAATGATGGAATTGAACCAAATATGGCCCACAGAACTCCCACGACGAACAGAAAATATATATCAATGATTGGTGGTGGGGGGGGGGGGGCACCAAAATACTGTTTGCTTATCGTTGACAATTACCTAGGGACGCCTCTGATCTCAGGCATGGGCAAACTTTGGCCTTCCCTACAAGAGTTTTGAACTTCAACTCCCACAATTCTCAACAGCCTCGGTCCTTTTCCTTTTCCCCTCAACCACTGGAGTTGAAGTCCAAACCCCTGGAGGGAGAGCCGAAGTGAGTCCATGCCATGTCCGCCTCTCTTTCCCTCCTACACGCGAGAGAGTAGTGCGCAGGCGCGGTCTCAGCGTGTAATACAAACTGAATACGTTGAGCGATTAACGGTTCAAGCCTCGAGCGCATGCGCGGTCCCGCGACGCACAGTAAGAGGCGGAGCGAGACCGCCGCCATTTTGGCTTTGAGTTTCTCTCATTTGCCAGCAGCGGCTGTTGCGCCGGGAGCTCCGTCCTCCTTCTCCGTTTCTGAATCGCGACAAAGGCAACAAGGAGCCCCGCGAAGGCACCACCATGTCGGCCAACAGGAACCTGAAGCAAGTGAGGATCGAGAACAGCTCCCCGGCGGGCGCGGCGCCGATGAGCCTGGTGGGCGGCGGGAGCGTGAAGGGCCTGCGGGGCCTGGAGCCGATGCCCATGCCTGCCCTGCCGCCCCCTCCCCCGCCGGAGAGCGAGAAGGCCGGCCAGGAGCAGGAGCAGGGCGGCCCGGGCATCACCGTCGACATCAAGAGCTTCCTCAAGCCCGGCGAGAAGAGCTACACGCAGCGGTGCCGCCTCTTCGTGGGGAACCTGCCCACCGACATCACCGAGGAGGACTTCAAGCGCCTCTTCGAGCGCTACGGGGAGCCCAGCGAGGTCTTCATCAACAGGGACCGCGGCTTCGGATTCATCCGCCTGGTGAGAGAGAAGGAGGGAGGGAGGGAGGGGGGGGGGGAAGGAAGATAGAAAAATGCCAGGCCGAGAGAGGGAGGGAGGGAATGGTGGGAAGATGGCATTCGCCTCGCTTTGCCTTCTCGTTGTTTCAAAGGAAAGGCGTGCGAAGAAATGCAGGGATGTTAGAGAGGACGCGGGCATCCTTTTCCTCCTCTTGTCCCAGCTTTGACTCCTATTATTTCATAGAACCATAGAGCTAGAAGAGGCCACAGGGGCCATCCATTGCAACCCCCTCTTTAAAATGATTATTATTAATAATTTATTTGTAGCCTGTCCTATCTCTCCAAGAGGACTCATTTATTATTTTATTTATGAAATACAGTAAAATGGTACAACTGAACATACGAATTGGTATAAGGATTCTGATTACGGATTCTGATTCTGATTTGTTTGCTGAGGCGCACGTTTATGATAATGATTGTTTTTGACTTGATATGTTTTGTATAATGTGCTTTTAATTGCCTGTTTGATGTTGTTGTGTTAATCTTTACTATGTAAACCGCCTTGAGTTGCCATTTTGGCTGAGAAAGGCGGTATAGAAGTAAAGCAAATAAATAAATAATAATAAATAAATATTTAGCAGTTTTGTATGCTGGTCGGTCTTCTCACCTCCGTTCGAGGGACTCATGCCGGTTTCCAACATCAGTATTACAGACAATCATTAAAACATCATATTCTAAATCGCACTAAAACATAAAAAATAGCAAAATACAATGATATAATTACAGTGGTCAGTCATCATCAAAAATCATTATTCGTCGTCATCCATCCATATCACAGGATCATGGCTCATTCGTCGAATGCCAATCCCCAAAGCCAAGTTTTCACCTGTTTCCTGAACGTTAAGATAGAAGGGGCAGTTCTCATCTCCAGTGGAAGGGAGTTCCAGAGTCGAGGGGCCACCACCGAGAAGGCCCTGTCTCTCGTCCCCACCAGCCGCGCCTGTGAGGCCGGTGGGATCGAGAGCAGGGCCCCTCCAGACGATCTTAGCAATCTTGATGGTTCATAGGGGAGGATACGTTCGGACAAGTAAATTGGGCCGGGTAGCTTCCAACATAATAAAGGCAAACATCCAATGCCTGTATAAAACGGAAGTAATAATATATACAACAAACAATGCAATACATTACACAATGAATTAAAACAAGCAATTTAAATAATGGTCATTAAATAATAATTTAAAGCCAGCTAAGATAGAATGTCAAATCCTTTTCTTTCCATTCCATTTATCCATGTTGTAAAATCTATTCCTCCTTGAATGAATGAATGCAACTTAAGAACTCATTACCGGAGATTGCTATCCCGTTCCTCCTCTTACCCCAGTTTTGACTCTTTTATTATTTCGTAGAACCATAGAGCTTGAAGAGGCCACATGGGCCATCCATTGTAACCCCCTCTTTAAAATGAATAATAATAATAATAATAACAATTTATTTGTAGCCTGTCCTATCTCTCCAAGGGGACTCAGGGCGGCTTCCAACATAATAAAGGCAAACATCCAATGGGTTGTTGTAGGATTTTCAGGCTATATGGCCATGTTCTAGAGGCATTCCCTCCTTCAGGATGTTTAATGTATTCTCGAAGGCGTTCATGGCCGGAATCACTGGGTTGTTGTAGGGTTTTTTGGGGCTATATGGCCATGTTCTTTGTTGTAGGTTTTTTCGGGCTATATGGCCATATTCTTTATTGTAGGTTTTTTCAGGCTATGTGGTCCGAAAAAACCTACACCAACCCAGTGATTATGGCCACGAAAGCCTTTGACAATACATCAAACATCCAATGCCTGTATAAAACAGAAGTAAAAATATAAACAACAAACAATGCAATACATTACACAAGCAATTAAAATAATGATCATTAAATAACAATTTAAAGCCAGCTAAGAGAGAATGTCAAATCCTTTTCTTTCTGTTCCATTTATCCGTGTTGTAAGATCTATTCCTCCTTGAATGAATGAATGCAACTAAGAATTAATTTCATTACCAGATATTGTTTGATTTTGTATTAAGACCTGAATGCAAAACATGGCAAAGCCAACGTGCCTCCAAATTCAATGAAAATACACATTTTCTGGCAATGCAAAGTTCTTATTGAAGTACCTTTTACAGAAAAATACATCACCAGAAATATCCAACAGTTTGGGAAAAGACAGTGTTGATAAAATATTCCTCCTCTTATCCCAGTTTTGACTCTTTTATTATTTTGTAGAACCATAGAGCTAGAAGAGGCCACAGGGGCCATCCATTGCAACCCGTCTTTAAAATGAATAATAATAATAATAATTTATTTGTAGCCTTTCCTATCTCTCCAAGGGGACTCAGGGCAGCTTCCAACATAATAAAGGCAAACATCCAATTTGTTGTTGTAGGTTTTTTCGGGCTATATGGCCATGTTCTAGAGGCTCCTGAAGGAGAGAATGCCTCTAGAACATGGCCATATAGCCCAAAAAAACCTACAACAACCCAGTGATTCTGGCCATGAAAGCCTTCGACAATACAGCAAACATCCAATGCCTGTATAAAACAGAAGTAAAAATATAAACAACAAACAATGCAATACATTACACAAGCAATTTAAATAATGATCATTAAATAACAATTTAAAGCCAGCTAAGATAGAATGTCAAATCCTTTTCTTTCTGTTCCATTTATCCGTGTTGTAAGATCTATTCCTCCTTGAATGAATGAATGCAACTTAAGAACTTATTTCATTACCAGAGATTTCTATCCCGTTCCTCCTCTTACCCCAGTTTTTACTCTTTTATTATTTCGTAGAACCATAGAGCTAGAAGAGGCCACAGGGGCCATCCATTGCAACTCCGTCTTTAAAATGAATAATAATAATAATAATAATTTATTTGTAGCCTGTCCTATCTCTCCGAGGGGGCTGTCTGAGAGGAGGCACGATGAAGACCATGTGTAAATATGTGAGGGGAAAGTCATAGGGATAAGGGAGCAAGCTTGTTTTCTGCTGCCCTGGAGACTAGGATGTGGAACAATGGCTTCAGACTATAGGAAAGGAGATTCCACCTGAACATGAGGAAGAACTTCCTAACTGTAAGAGCTGTTCAGCAGTGGAACACTCTGCCCCCAGGATGTGGTGGAGGCTCCTTCTTTGGAGGCTTTTGGACAGAGGCTGGCTGGTACTTTGAATTTGATTTTCCTGCTTTTTGGCAAGGGGTTGGACTGGATGGCGCACAAGATCTCTTCCAACTCTATGATTCTATGGTTCATAGAAATGAATGAATGTTCCATTTCCCATTGGAATTGCTGTCCTTTTCCTCCTCTTGTCCCAGTTTTGACTATTATTATTTCATAGTATCATAGAGCTAAAAGAGACCACAGGGGCCATCTGTTTCAACCTACTCTTTAAAAAGAATGAACACATAAATGCAAGTAAGATCCCATCAGAGATTGATGTTCTTTTCCTCCTTAGTTTCATTTTGACTCTTCGTTCTTTCATAGAATCACAATGCTAGAAGATTCCACAGGGCCATACATTAAATCCCCGGTTTAAAAAGAAAGATGTGCAAATGCATGCATGCATGCAAATAAGTAAAGGCTCATTTCCCTATAGCAGGTTGTTGTTCCTTTTCTTCTCCTATCTGACCACAGACTGGAGGAGAGGCTCTCATTCCCTTCTCCGCCCCCAGTTCTGCAGCAGAAAGACCCTGCTTTGGGCTCCATCCTGAGCAGGTGCATGTTAATCTAATGCCGGTGAGGAGACTTCTCCTTGCATTACAATGCCTGTTCTGGCTGTATCTTGCATTTTTTATAACGGGGCTCTTCTCTCTCCTCCTTGGACCTCTCCTGTTAATGTGCATCTTGACTGGTTTTTCTTATAACTGCAGTACCATTTAATAATAAAAATAAATGGTATTGTTACCCTCTCCACACAGCACAATATAGCTAAAAAAAACCTGCCGTTTCAATATATATTAGTGTTTTAAACCTTATACTATGCTTTTTAACATAAGCACCTTAAAATACATTTATTAAGAAGCATAGTATAAGGCTTAAAATACTAATATATATATATAAAACTTGAAATTGTAATTTAAAATTAATTGTTTAACGATGACTTGTTAGGCATGCCAGAAAAGAGAGGCTTCTAATTGTGTCTTAAATTTTGATAGCTTATTTAGGTGTCGGAACTCTTCTGGCAGGTCGTTTTAGTCTAGGGGTGTCTGATGAAAAGGTCTTCTGGGTGACTTTTGGCAATTGGTTCCGCCTGGTTGGAGCAAGCATCCCTAGAAGACCTGACTGTACAACATGGATTGTAGCGGATGAAGTAATTATGTTGGTAATCTCTAAACTATGTAGCATTTTAAACCCATGCTTTGTACTTTGACCAGAAACTAATTGGCTACCAGTGGAGTGATTTCTAAGGCAAGGAATACTCAGAGGTGGTTTTGCCAGTTCTTTTCCCTGAAATATAGCCTCCAGTACCTGCTCTTCTTTGGCCACCTCCCATCCAAGTCCTAGATAGAGCGGATCTTCCTTAGATTCCAAGATCAATTGGGATCTGGTGCTTTTCGAATATTTCAGCAGACAGTAATATTTACAATTGTATAATGGTGAATAACTTTTAGGAGTGTGTGTTTGTATGTATGTATGTGTGTATAGACTGGTGTGTTCACACACACATGCTTTCCAGCCCTCTGTCAACTTATGGCACTTCTATGAATTTCATAATGTTTTCTTAGGCATGGAATGCTTAGAGATGATTTTACCATTTCCTTTCTCTGAACTATACTAAACAGTACCAGATATTCATTGGTGATCTTCCATCAAGTATTGTGCTGACCCTGCTTTTCTCCCAAGATCAAACAGAATCCAGTGTTTTAAAAATATTTAAACTTTGATCCCATTGGTAGTAATAGCTAAAGTACAAGAAATCAATTGTAAAAATCTTGTATTTATCGAATTCCTGTATTCCTGCATGGCAGGAGTTAACACTGGATGGCCCTTTTGGCTTCTTCCCACTGTATGAATAAGTCCACATTTATGTAAATCCATTTATTCAGCATGCCTACTCTAGTTAGGATTAGTAATTGGATTTATATCTTTGTCTTCAATAGAAATCCATTCAGCCCCATTACTGAGAGAAAAATTAGGGATAAGGAATCATTGTTATCCATAAGCATGGTAGCTTTCCTTAAGTTTTTGTCAAATGGCTGTTTGCTTACTAAGGTTTTCTACGCTCTTGTCTGTTGCCTAGCTGTCACTCCTTGCTGCATTCCCGCTTTTATTTTCTACCTCTTATTTCAGTTGTCCAGCAGATTCTGTTATTCATTATTATCATTTGCCACAATGGGCATGAGTGGGCTACTTCAGAAAGCAAATGTAGGCACACATCGTGGTGTTACTGTATTTGGAGAAAGATCTTAGTGTTTCATCTATATTTGAAGCCTGCTTTCTTCAAAAAGCAAAAATATGGACAATTCCTTGTTCCAAACATTCAAAAGAATTGGTTCAGCAAGTTCCAGATATTTTCTCATACTATGATTGTCTTTTAACCAAAGTTAATTTTACTTATTTTTCATGGGATTATCATTGAATTCCTTCCCCAATTTGAAACTCAGCATTCTCAACAAACATATGTAGAATAAATCTGTTCCCTGTTTTTTTTTTTTGGGGGGGGGGGGGGCTATGATCTCTGCCATGAGCAAGGGAAATCTTTCCAAAATGTAAGGAAAATTATTGCTGTCTGAAGTTCTAGTCTTCAGCTTTCACCCATTTTTTCATGGTTTCCTATAATTGTCACCTGATCTTCAATATAAAATGTTACGTACCCCACAGCACTTTTTCCATCTCATTTCATTTCCCCCCTATTTTTGTCTTTCATGATAGAAAAAAGCTAGATAAAAGGAGACCATCACCAAAGATGGATGTGCAAATTTCAGGTTTCCTTGATTGATTGCCATCTACTTAGTTGTCCAGTGTATGTTTTGTATAATTCCCTGTTCGCATTGTATGTGGATTATAATCCCATTAATAGTAACAGCTAAAACAGATACTGTGTAAGGAATTCATTGTCAAAACCTTGCATTTTTCAAATTCCTGTATTCTTGCATGGCAGAAGATTGCACTGGATGGCCCTTTGAATACTACTACTACTAATAATAATAATAATTATAATAATTTTATCTCTTATCTGCCTCTCCTCATACCTCGAGGCGGGATACAACATAGGTAAAAACACATTATAATTGTAAACATTCTGTAAAATACATATATTAAAACATATTTCTATAAAATACATATTAAAACACACAGAACAAAGATGGAAACAAGACTCAAGTTTATAATTCATGATTAGAACTGACTGGGAAGGCCTGCCAGAAAAGATAGGTCTTCAGATGTGTTTTAAATTCCGACAGCTCATTTAGCTGTTGGAGCTCTTCCAGCAGGTCATTCCAGTCTTTGGGTGGCTGACTCCTGGTCTTGTATCAGCTGCTATGCTGCCAACATTTTTAATGTGTTGCTTTAGTTGGAGGTAAGATGGTTTCTGTGAACATTTGTATCTTTCTCTAGAGAAAGTGATAGGAATTGCCACCGTGTTTCCAAGGAACACAGTTCTTTGTAAATGGCACAGGTTTCTTTCCATATATGACAAACTGGTAAGTCCCTAATTTTTCTCTTTAGAAGATTTAATTTTTTTAAAAAAAGTTTTTCTTGAAACTCTTTGTAGCTTCTCAGGCAGTAGAATACTTAAATGCCTATAATACCTCCTGAACAAAAAGCTCTTGCTTGTCTCCAAAGAACCTACTGATATGTCTGACCATTCTTTGATTTTCTGTATTTTTAAAAGCTTCTCTTTCTGAACTAGGTCCTTGTCCTTGGGTGCTTAGAATTCCTGGATATAATCAGTGAAGTTGGTAATCAGTACAACTAAGGATAATAATTGTAGGACCAGACTTCGTCTTGAAAACAACTAGAGCTTTGGAATGAAGTGTTCCATACAGAATATGGAATGCCTTTTATGCATGGCTAGAGCATTTAGATGGACTTGAACAAAATGCTTCTCTTTCATGCCATTGACTTCTATTTTTGTTCACATTCGTATGTTTATTATTTTTGTTTTATTCTTGTAGTATGAAATTTTTTCAAATACCTGTAGATGGATTGTTAACATGAGCTAAGCTTTGAGTAGATTAGACCAGGGATCCTAAAACTTTTTAAACTGAGGGTCAGTTCATGGTCACTCAGACTGTTGCGGGGCCAGACTACGGTTTGAGAATGAAAATGAGAGAATTCCTACATGTGGGCCTGCTTTTTGGCTGATGAGATAGTTAAGCTAATTAGGATTGTTGTTGATGTGTGCCTTTAGTCGTTAGTCTAAAGCTTAGGTCAGGGGCAGGGTAAATGATTTTAGAGGACTGCATCTGGCCCGCAGGTGCATCCCTGTTTGGGCACCCGTGTAGTAGACAATCAAGGAAGGCATATTTAAGCAACAACTGTTTCGGTGCTTTCCCTTTCTGTTCCTTTGTGTCAGTCTATATCAATAAAATGTGTCAGTCTGTATCAATAAAATGTGTCAGTCTGTATCAATAAAATGGTAGAAATTAGCTATGCTGGTTCATATGTTATGGTAAAGCTGAGAAAAAATGTTGGCTTCTGATCTTAATTTGCTAACCAGTTGCAAATCACCGTTTGTCAGTGTGGATGTGTGACAAATCTTTACTTTTATGTCTTTAACTATAATATGATATACAATAGTTGAATTTTGCCTCTATAAAATGTGTTCTTACCCTTATTCTATTAACATACATACTGAAGAAAGGATATGAGCTAAAACTTAACATTTCTGTCTTCCCCACCATTGGCATTTTAGAAAAAGAACTGAAGTAGAATTAAATAGCATTAGTACAGGATTTATTATTTTTTTCCCTAAATCATTTGGCCTGTTTTTCAAGGAGACAAACTGAATCTTTTGGGAATGCATGCATGGATTAATGTCACAGTAATAAGCTTACCCTTGGTCATAGATCAAATTATGTTTGCCTGGGGATCAGGAAAAGTACCACTGTGGAGAGAAACTGGGTTGTGCACCACTACCTTAATTTAAAAATGTATTTTTCACATTCTTTAGTAATGTTTCAAAATTTTAAGACAGAAAGAGACAGTCAGTCAGTTGTTAATGTAAATTATTTTGCAATCATAGTACTTCAAAGTGACTTCCCAAGGATGTAATAAGACAACTGTAGATTTGTATCAGGATGATGGAGTTTCTTATTGGGCATTCCTTTTCAGAAGGTCCTTTCCTATAGTGGTGGTGAGGGACCATGTGGTTTGGGTACATGAGTGCTTTTAGAGAACTAACATCAAGTCTTAGATCATTGAATCATAGAGTTGGAGAAGACTGTCCATCTAGTCAAACCGCCTGCCATTCAGTAAAAAGCACAAAGTACCTCCGAAAGTTGATCATCCAGCTTTTGTTTAAAAACCTAAAGAAGAAGTTTCTGCCACACTCCAAGGTAGAGAGTTCCACTGTTGAACAGCTCTTATGGTCAGGACATTTTCCCTAATGTTCAGGTAGAATCTTTCCTGTAATTTGACCCCCTACTCCAAGTCCTAGGGCCCTTCCACACAGCCATATAACCCAGAATATCAAGGCAGAAAATCCCACAATATCTGCTTTCTACTGGGTTATCAGAGTCCACACTGCCATATATTCCAGTTCAAAGCAAGTAATGTGGGATTTTATTCAGCTGTGTGAAAGGGCCCTAAGTCTCTAGAGCATCAGAAAACAAGCCTGCTCCCTCTTCCTCATAACATTCTTTCCAATATTTAAACCTGGCCGTCAATGTCTCCTCTCAACCTTCTGTTCTGCAGGCTAAATATGCACAGTTCTTTAAACCACTCCTCACAGGGCATGGTTTCCAGACATTTGATTATTTTGTTCACCTTCTCTAGACACGTTCCAGCTTGTCAATACCTTTCTTGAATTGTGCTTCCCAGAATTTAGTGCAATATTCCAGGTGAAGTCTGACCAGAGCAGGAGATCAGGATCAGGAGAGGCATGTATAAGTATTGCAGATTTGACCCTGTGTTTCCAAAGCTCCCAAGTTGTTAAACAATCCTCATGTCACACACTTTGTTGCCCACCTTTGCAGCTAAGGAATTAGGAGGATGAATTGATAAATTTGCCAGAATTCTGTGGAAAATAGAATTACTTGAAGCTTGGTTATAACTTCTGTTTAGATAGATTTGTTCAAGACAACTTAAAATGCAGTGAAAGAAAAACCAGATTGCTGAAATATTATATATAAATATGTTATGTTCTCTTGTAAAGGAATCTAGGACCCTGGCTGAGATCGCGAAGGCAGAACTTGATGGAACTATTTTGAAGAGTAGACCACTCCGAATTCGATTTGCTACCCATGGAGCTGCTTTAACAGTAAAGAATCTTTCACCGGTTGTTTCCAATGAGCTTCTGGAGCAAGCTTTCTCTCAATTTGGCCCTGTGGAAAGAGCGGTGGTTGTTGTAGATGATCGTGGCAGGGCAACGGGGAAAGGTTTTGTAGAGTTTGCGGCAAAACCTCCAGCTCGTAAAGCTTTAGAAAGATGCAGTGATGGAGCATTTTTGCTAACAACGTAAGTTCTATTTTTTCTATTGTATTCTTTGCTGTATGTGTGGAGACGTATGTAACAGTTGCTAATCTACTCACTATTTAGAATTACACAAAACATTTTTGGAAAATCAACCTGATCTTAGTACCTAATCCAGATTTCTCCTTTGTCTGCTTTTTAAAAAGCTGATCCTGATGGTTTTGGTGAAATGTTGAAAATCTATTTAACATGGTTCCCATAAATCAAAGTTGACCTGAAGCCAGTTAACAAGAAATCTTTGTCTAAAGATGTCAGACAAGGAGGCACTCCATATTGCAGCGATTCTCTTGTTTTTGATCCCAGTGGGTAGTACAACTCTAATTTCCTCCCTATATTGCTCTTTTTAGAAAAGGTATCAGATACATGTAGTGCTTTTCAAGTATTAGACTTTCTCCTTTTGCTGGTTTTGTCTAGCACTTGCATACAAAGAGTTTTCACTTTTGCCAAATATCATCTTTTATTCTCATATATTCACATGATAAGTTTAGCCTATCCCTTAGAGTGGACAGAACATATCCTAATTGCAGAAATAGAAAATAATTAGCAATTTGTGCCCCTGAATATATCATTTACTTAACTCTAAGCTTAAGTAATACTTTTGTGTGATAATGCAAATACTAGAACAGAATTTTCAAATTTGGAGATATTTGATTTGTAGTTCAACCCCTGTAGCCACAGATTCGATAAATTTCCCCTTTGAAGTGTTTGTGGGGCTTTCAAGGTCTTTTATGATGTTTTAGACCCAAGTCAAAATACAGGATTTGCTTTGGTCTCCACGGTTTCAGGGATCCACCAGATGTTTTGGATAATATTCCTCATGGATACAGGAGTCCTATTATATTAGGTAGTAAGCATTCTTAGCTAATCAGCTGAATTAAAAAGAATACAATTCCAGGTAAATCTGAACAGTCAGTTTAGTTTTTTTTATGGGAAACTTCCCAGGGCATTGTCATGTGTTTCATTTTCAGTATATTTTAATTAGAATCATGTCTGGGATGTGTGGCATTTATGAACTGATTGGAAACATCACAGTTGAAATTGCCATTTTCCTCCATTTTTCTACTGAAATTATTACACAATTATATTGAATAATTTCAGTATTTCTTGGATAAATATATGTTAAGCAAATATTAATATTGCCTGCCTTTTTTGTTATAGATTATTGGGCTTTGGTTTGGATATGCCATTCTCGGGCAGGCTAAAGGAGTAATCCACCACTTGTGGTCTTATCTCCATGTGCCAACTAGATCAATGCAGAACTCCCCAGAAATATCATTCTGTTGGCGCCCCTCTTTCACTTCAATTTTTTTCCCAAGTCCAGCCAACCAGTCCAGCTTTTTATTTATTAGGTAGTATCATCTCATATTATTTCTCATACTAGTATCTATAAAATTATTTAGAGTAATCCAAATAATTAAAAATGTAAACGATGAGTTTATAAAAAAACCAAGTATAAACAGAGTGAGCATGAAGAAGACAAAACTGATTGCCAGTTACTATCTGAGGAATTGGGGTGTCAAGTGGAGAACAAAATTAACTCCCCAAGGCCACAAGCGTATTGGTCAGAGAGGGCGAGTAGAGTACTTATATAGCATAAAAGATCAGGAGATATATGTTGTAGGTGCTATGGGCTCCATATCTGAGTTACAATTACAGAAAATACTTTAACCTTGAGCAAAAGCAAGGCCGAGAGGTGCTCCCCAGAGCAGCCGGATAACATAGTAACGTCAAAAGAAAAGGATTTGAAACGGAATTAAAGTTGAAAAGAATAAAAGTCAGAATAAGGCAAAGTTTACCTCTGCCTTAGGGAAGTCTTCTCAAAATGTTAAAGGATCAGAGGAGGTCAAAATCACAGATATGATTTCTAGTTGCCATTTTGAAAGCTCCAGTTCCAGGCAAAATGGAAGTTGGGAAATTGAATAGCCAATCAGGCAAATGTACAGATGCTCACAATGATTGATATTCAGCTGTGTCAATAAAACAAAACCAGCTGCAAAAGAAAACAAAGTATAGTTTCAATTGCAACAAGAAAAGAGCACTCAATTTCTGCAGTATTCAGCACTGCCAATAACACATGAAAACATGTCAGTAGTGTGTCAAAGCCACATGAAAGTGTTATAAATCTGGTAGAATTGAGGCAAGCAACAGCAGAGATTTCTCGGTGTGATCTTCAATAAGGTATTAGGAGAGGCTTGATTAATGCAGAATCTTCTCTAAATACTCAGATTATTTTAAACGCTACGAATTTGGGTGTATTGGGTGGGTTACGTAATTTATCAAATTTGTCTAATTTAACTCTGCACGGTGCACACCTCCCTCTCCCCCTTCTTTCTCTGCACACACCCCCTCTCTGCTCTCTGCACTTTAACTCAGATGGAGGGCGTGTGCGTGGCAATAGGAGGGGGGAGGGAGGTATGCACCTCTCTCGCTGCGCTTGCCGCTTGTGTTGGAACCTCCCTTTCTCCTTTCACTGCATACGCGGTAACATTTCCAAACAGGTGGCTTTTGTACTATGTGGGATGAGAAATACACATCAAAGGAGCAGCGGAGTTGGTAATTGCTTGGAAAGGCACCCAATGTGAGAGAAGGAGGCGGTGAGAGAGGAGAGATGGCTGCCTTTCTTTCATCAGTTTATTTTTATTTTTGAAAGTTACCTGTAGCTTCTGCACTTCCCACCCTCGGCTTATACACAACTCAGTAAGGTTTCCCAGTTTTTTGCAGTAAAATTAGGTGCCTCGGCTTATATTAGGGTTGGCTTATACTTGAGTATATATAGTATTTCATACTTGGTTCTCCTAAAAAGTGGACACAGCACTGAAGAATGTTGATGAAAAGAGAATTGAAGCTTCTCCTAAGTGCAGGAGGCTTCAGCTGGTGATAAGAGCTTTAGTGGCATCTTCAGTATTCACTAGAGGGAGGGTATGCTGTGGCTCCAGGAAATCCTGTACTTGTAGGATGTAAATGCTTGAACGTTGCAGAAGGTCTTACATAGATCAGATACAATGCTTCAGTTTATGGCTGGTGGGGTTTTTGATGCAACAGTGTTTGTAGTCAGATCCATTTTATAAAGTACTGTAAGTAGGAGATCTCTATGGCTTAAACACTGGGAGGCAGACCAGAAACCAAGCTCAAATCTACACCATTTAGATTTAAGTTGTTGCTTGGTGAGTTTAAGCAACAAAGTCAATATCAATGAAGAAAGCGATTTAACCCTTACAATACGGGTGGAAGAGCTCGGTTTTGCCTATAGGAAGATAGTTGTAAGATTATTTCGGTCACTAGTGGAATCAGATAACTTTGGATATGTAGGCATTCAAGATAATGATTGTGGGATATAATATTCATTTTTTCAAGAGACCAAAGAAAAGCTTTCTCCTAATTGGGATGTTTCAAAGGATGTTTCAAAGACTTGGTCCCACAGAAAATCAATCATCTATTGGAAACATAAAGAGGAAGTGCCTTGGGATCAAAGGCTCAAGGGAATCTATTTCTTATTGTCCACATAGCCCCAAAACAGTAGGGCTTTCAGGCCTGTCCTACAAACTATTTTAGAAAACTTAGAGCCAGGACATTTCCTGTTATAAATAGTTTTGCAAAAAGCAAATCCACATTTATGGTTTTGACTTGCAGATTTGATTATTCACAGATTTGATTACAAATGTTCTCTCTAGGAATCACACACAAACACACATATAAGTCATTATATAAGTCATGAGCTGTGGGGACGCTTAAACCAGCATATACTATTTGATTTGAAAAGCCTTTGGGCTGTATAGTTGTTGAGTGTACTGTTAGGAATGCCTGTCCTATTCTGCAACTTTTTTACAGAATTATTTTTTATTATTTAATAGTGTGTGTTCATGGGCTGTGCTTTCTTTAGGACTCCTCGACCTGTTATTGTAGAACCTATGGAACAATTTGATGATGAAGATGGGCTGCCTGAGAAATTAATGCAAAAAACACAACAGTATCATAAGTAAGTGTTAATTTTTAGATAAAATATTAGAAAACAAAGAGATATTCACAAAATGAAATGAATATAGGTTTTTAAAAAAAGCTTGAGTGCTGATTCAAGCAAGAACAACCTTTGTGATGTACTTTATGTTTAAGATGGGTGGTAGAGTATTGCATTACAAAATAGGGAGAAGATCCTCATTACTGAAATGCTGTTTGTATGCCTTAAAGGAATTGAATGCTTCTGAATTTAGATAAATAAAATATACCCCAGACATCTTTTAATCATTAATATGATTTCTGGGACATCCATTCATTTCACGGGGAAAAAAATCCAGCTATGTTAGAAGCAGAACAAGAGTCCTAGATTTTTGAAGGATTTTGGCCACATGATCACCCCTCCTCATGCCAGGTTACTCTCTTTTCCTCATGCCCTACCTATACAGTCTCATGTTAAAAATGATATGAATTGTGTTCAGTGTGAATAAGTCTCCTTTTTGGCAGAGATCGGAGGTGGCAAAAACCATTGATTTTAAATGGTGCCTCCTTGCTTGCTCATCTGAAGGGCATTTCTACCTGAAAAAAAGGACTAGAAACATATTTTTAGATTAGTAATTTACCAGCAGGACCAACATTTCTGGGCCTCAAGTTCTTTAGCTTAAAAAATCCACTTATACATGTTTCAGGTTTGTGTTTAAATATACAGAATTATGCTTCTGGATTTTGTTCGGGCTTCACATCAGCTGTGAAACACCTTTTACAGAGAAATGCATAAGAAAAGACTCTAAGAAATCATAATTTGACTGTTGATTTGTGTAAGCAAAACCGTTTTATGTGACGTGTTTTCTGTAACCTCATTGTAGGGAGAGAGAACAACCGCCGCGTTTTGCTCAGCCTGGAACATTTGAATTTGAGTATGCTTCACGATGGAAGGCTCTTGATGAAATGGAAAAGCAACAGCGGGAACAAGTTGATAGAAACATTAGAGAAGCTAAGGAGAAACTAGAAGCTGAAATGGAAGCAGCTCGACATGAGCACCAGTTAATGCTGATGAGACAAGGTACTATGAATAGGCTATCAGCTGAATTTTACTGCACACGCTGGAGAAGCATTAAGATGCTACCTGTCTGTGTTGTGATAGGAGTCCATAAAGTATCCACAAAAGGATTTCTTAAAAAAACTTTTTGAAGAATTGTACATGCCACAAGCAGAGATCTATCAAGCAGATTGCCTAAAGCCAAATTTACTTATAGCACATTTTTAAATGATCAGATATGTTTTATAGCTGATTGCTGCTATTTATATCATTTCTAAGTGTGTTATATTAATTACTTAAAAGAACAGCATGGAGAAGTTGGAAAGAAGTAAACCAACAATATAGAAGATAATTCTATATAAACATTAATGTTACTAAAAAAAAGTTACGTCTTTTATTCCATCACCCATAAATGAGTGGTTCCAAAGTTTGAATGTTTCTATTTGAACGTTTGTAAATGCTTTAGTGTAGTAAATCTAACATTTTTATTGCTATTGCTATTATTACATACCCCTTATCCCAAAAAACTGAAAGCAGCAAATATTTTGTACCATGACTGAGAAATGAAGCTGGCATTTAGATAGAGGTATTAATTATAGGCACAGGACAACCTCCGTATCTGAGGGACAAGTACCCACAATTTTACCAATAAAACATGTTCTCTCCAAGAATTTTCTAGACACTGGTTATGTCTTCTGTAAGTTGTTCATTTCAGTAGGGTTTGTAATTATCCATGGTTTTGTATTTCACAGTAAATTCAGAAACGTATCTCCATGGATAAATGAGTAATGCTGTAATAGCAGTTATACAACTACGTTTCATAAATACCTAACGTTACCTTTACGCTTTGTACAGTCTGGTATTTACACAGTTTTCCAGAAGTATTCAGTTCAATGTGTTGTCGCAGGCTTTCATGGCCAGAAGTCAATTTTTGTGGAATGTTTTGAGTAATAGTTGTCCCATGGATGGTTTTTCTAATTAGAGCTGAAGATTTCTCAAGCATCTTTAGCATTACCATTGGCCTCTTAAGTACTTATTTAATGAATGTTCTCCTTCCCCAGTCACTTGGTTTTGGTGGATAGACTTCTCTAGGCAGAGTCACAACTGGACCATAGTCTTTTCATTTTGTAATAATGAATTTAACAGCAATCTGGATAATATTCATAGTTAAGAATATTTTCTACAATCTAAACCTGATTCTTCTGCAAAACTTGGATGTGCGGCACTGCGTCCCCCTGTTGTGATCTGGTCATCGACTGCAATAAAGTTATTTACTTACTTACAAAACTTGACCGGAGTATAGCTTTCACCATCGCTTCATGATGTTGCTCGTTTAGATGTGCTCTTCTGGAGCCTTGTAGAAATAGATGCTTGCAATCTGAGATCATGTGGTGCTAGTGTAATGTATAGGTGAATTCCAATGTATTTGGAGGCAGTAGGATGCATTGTATTTATTTAGGTGTATCACAATGATGAATTTGCATACTTATGCTTCAAACACTTGCCGGTTTCAGTTAGGTTCATCATTTGAATATCATGTATACATCAAGTAGTGACAGTGACCACCAAATCCATTTTGGTTTCCTGTTCTAATACAACAAAATTTTGAGAAGTCAGGGGTGTGTGTGTGAATATTTCTAGAAGGTACCATTGCACATTTATATTAAAATGACAATTGCTGTGGCTACTTTTTTACAGACCTAATGAGACGTCAAGAAGAACTGAGACGTTTAGAAGAACTTAGAAATCAGGAACTGCAGAAACGGAAGCAAATACAATTGAGGTATCTTTTATAGATTTCTTTAGATTGCATAAAGGGAAGACATTTATAGGTGCATGAAATATGAAATTTTGAGACTCAATATTTAAAAAAATTAAACGTCCAGTATTTCATATAAAACAAACTCTGATTTATAATTATCTGTTGTCAGGTGTTGTCTTTGGACTTTCACTGCTGCCTTAGTTGAAATTGCACTTGCCTATTAAAATGACATAAGTAGTTTTTTTACGAAAATATATTCTGTATATAACAATTAGCTATATCTGACATGTAGACATGAAGAAGAACACAGGCGACGAGAAGAAGAGATGTTGCGTCAGAGAGAACAGGAGGAATTGAGGAGACAGCAGGAAGGAGGATATAAGTCAAACTTCATGGACAACGTAAGTAGGAATCTGCTTAACTAAAATGGAAACTGTTATTTCTAGATTTGAACAAATTGAAATATTTCAACATGTCTTTTTCTCCGCTACAATTTTATTTCTTTACAGGTCACCTTTGAAAGGGAAAAATGTTTTCTCATAACTTTTTATAATAAGATAAAGATCTCATATTTCATAATGATAAATACCTTCACTAAATATTTCAGGTTTTCATGTTTGTATGTACTTAACACCAACTGAGACAGGGGTTTTGTTGTATTACTAGATAGGAGACATTAGTGCTCAGGTCTTCACATTATGAGTGTTGAGAGGAGACTTTCAGAAAAAAGGCATTTGTAGCCAACTGTACTCCTTATTTGTATCTTTGTTTAATCAAGTTTTTTTTGTGAAGTTAACACACGAAACTTCTAATCCCCCTCCCCATGTTGGTAACAGTGAAAACTATACTTAATAACAAATCACCCTGACTCATTCTTCCTATATAACACTGATAGATAGTATCAGCTGTGCTAATACATCATCACATCACTAAAATACTTACTCTTGAATAAGTTCAGGGCAGGTTTTGAGGCCAAAATGATGGATTTTGATATGACATGTAAGTAAGTTGAGGGTTATTCTGTGGAGAAAGAAAAGAACCAATTGTGTCTTGGGGCTGGCCACCACTGGCATTTCACCTCCCAGGCTTTCAAAAAGGCCAGAATGGCCATATAACCTCTCTCGAGTAGAGGAGGTTGGTGCTTTTTTAAGGTTCTCCCAGGAGAGACTAATCTCTCGCCTATGGCCACTCTACTCAGAGAAAGGGATGGTTTCTTTTTTGATAAAAGTTAAGGCACAGTACCTACCATGTTTCCCCGAAAATAAGACATACCCATAAAATAAACCGTAGCAAGATTTCTGATCATTTGCTCAATGTAAGCCATACCCCGAAAATAAGACATAGTGATACAAGCTGAGGCAGAGAAGGAATCATAGAAAGTGAAATGCAAGAACTTTCTGCAGCAACGGAAGCTAGTCTGGGCCTCCCTCCCTCTCACTTCCTGCTGCCTCCTCCTCCTTTTTCTCCTTCTTCTTCTTTCTTCTCTTCAGGCCAGGCAAGGCAAAGCTTCCTCCTTGAGGGAGTGATAGAGGGATTGAGTCACTCGCTCCAACAGGGCTGCAGTTGGTAGCACTACTTCCGTTTGGCCTGTCCCCCAGGAAGTCTCCTCAGTGAAATGAGGAGCAGGATGCTCTGCTTTAGGTATAGTGTGTCCTCAGGGGGAAGAAGTAAAGCTGTTGCTGTTACTTAGCACTATATTTGAATAAATGCAGATTGTTGTACCACGCTTAATAAAAATTAAGTATGGTACAACAGCACCTGAAAATAATCCATAATCTGTCTTCTTGAGGAAAAATAAATATAAAACAGTGTTCTAATTTGAAAAATATTCTTCAGAAAACATAGAATGTAGTGCAGTATACATTCATACATTTATATATTTCACTGATTTAACCCTGTTAAGAATATAAAATGCTTTATGCAAACATGTTACAAGTATGCCAGTGCTACATCTTCTTCACATTCAGAGATATACAGTTCCACCTATGTATCCCTATTGCTTAAAAAATAATGGATAGTAGGTGATTTAAAAGAAACCTGAAACCACAGAGAGACACTGTCTGAGAAGAATGCAATGTTACATAGTTTCTTTTTTATGAGCCATTACATAAAATTGTTTAGTTTAGTTATGAAATGTTCAATATCTATCATTCTAGTAGCAGTATCAAATGTGTTCCGCATTCAAGATGGAGCTAGAACCTGCTATACAGCACTTCAGTTTTGACTACTGTGGAATGGGGTTGAAATAGGACACATTAACATTATAGTACACAAAGATAAGAAAGAATTCTAAAATCGCCAACAATTTGGGGACATCCTACAGTATTAAAAACAAAGTATGTGACTTTTAATAATATGAATATTAATTACAAATCATTTTTTAAAAATGATAAAATCTCTCAGAATATTGAAATGAAAATAGTTTGTTTCACTATTTTGTTTTTTAAATTGCTGTGAACTAGTTTCCCAGTGGAGTTATTTTAATAGTTAGAGAATTAAAAAAAACAGCTTCCAGTTATTTCAGCAGAATGCACAGTTAGGAGTACTCTGTGCATTATGCTTTCAGATCTCTGCCCTTTAAGTGTGTATAGAAATAGACTCATTCTGAAGGAAAGTGGCCAGAGTGTTCAGTATTGAACAGTTCATTCTTGTGGGTCGTTTTTCCATTTGCTAATGGTATTATGGCTTCTATTACCCACTTTATCTGTAGCATTCATAAGAATGTGCCTCCATTTGATCTATGGTAGTGTTGCACCTTTTGAACTTTGTCATTGCCTGTAATGATTGCTGCCAACTGTAACAGGATATGTATGATTAATAGAAGGTAGGCTTGCATTTATGATTCTAATCCCTCAATTTAAAATCATCAGATCACCTCTATGAAGTTTCATATCTGATTTTGTTTCAGTGGTGGTGGAAGACATTTGTAAAGTTCATTCAATGTAACTTAGAGCTGGTTTTCTTCATCACATAGCACACTGTGACTATATCAGAACATATTAACTTTCTCTACTGAAAACCATATGGAGTGATATGAGACCTATTTGGTGCTGATCTGTATTAGCTATCACATATTCAAATCATCTATGGATATGTGCGATTTCCCCCAAAGAAAAGCATAATTACATTAACATTTATCATGGTATTTGAGTTTCTTCCAAAAGAGAAAAAGTGGCATATGAATAAATATAGTAATAATATTTTAAAATAAGGGTGATAACACACCGAGAACCTAATGGATAGTATCTGTCTTTATAAGATAGGCATATTAATTTGTAACAGTTTGAACTACCTAAGTAATACATATGCGATGAGTAATTATTACAGTAATTTTGAAATTGTACTTTGTATATGCACATATATGGTTCTGTCTTATAACTGAGCAAAAGAAGTTAAGTATTTTCTGTTTGAAGTCTCAGCTGTTTCCAGAATATACTTTTTTGTCATAAAAATTAAAAAAGAAGCAATCGGGAAAAAATGCTCCACCATTTTTGCTATCTTACCACAACATTTGAATTTTTAATCTAATTTGAGAAAGCTATTTTAAAATCTCAGGTGACTTAAGTAACTGAATTATACATTTAACAGCAGTTGTAATTATCTGGGGACAATGTGGTGCTATAGGAGTATGCTTTTCTTAAGGCTGATAAAAACCTGCGTTGTATCATCAATTTTATGTGAGAATGTACTTTCAACAGAATTCATAATTATGTGATTTATGTTTTTCTGATCACAATATATTTTTAACGGATACTTAGAGTTCTAATTTCTTGAAGTATTCTAAAAATGCAAGATCTTTCTGTGTTGTGTGCGGGTTGTAGGTTTGGATGAATAGAGTTATTTTGGAAGATAAATTTTTTGTTCTTCTTTTGGAAATATATATGGTGATAAATAATTCAGAAATTCAAACAGCGTTTCAGAATCTGCTCAAAAGAGGCACCGGTAGCTGCACACTTGTTCCTCTGGGTGGGATGTGTAATGTTCCAGTCTGGCAATAAAAATCTGTGGTAGTACTTCTTATAATTGTAGTAGTAGCTAGAAAAGTTAATTTATGGTTTTAGTGCAAGTTATTTTTTAGTGTATTTTTAACAAGATATATAACATATATATGTTAGATATATATGAATTCTGAAATTAACATGAATATATTTTTATTTTATTTCAGTCTTAGCCTTAAAAAATTGAAGTAATCTTAGCAATGTTTTGGAAGTGTCTTGAACTGCTTATATAAGAAGTACTTCCAACACACTTTTATATGCAATAGCAGTATTTTATTTCACAATATCTGGTTTTAGATTTTCCTTTTTAAATACTTCTGCCTTCATAGCAGATCCTAGATTCGAGTTTCACTAGTGAGAGGCAGTTCTTTGTGCAATCGTTCTAGAAAAAGGCCTCGATTGAAATCAAGGTCATATTGCTCATGAATTCATACTGTATCTCAAGTTAATTATGATTTTAAACTTAAATGTGCTAAATAAATTGAAAATAGTTCATATGCAGTACTCAGAATAGTATTTTCACTGCCATCTTTAATATTCACCTCTTTCTAGGAGAAAGCTGTTGCATTATGAATTAAGCTAAGGATGTTTGGTCTAATCAGATGGGAGATTACAAGGAAACTGTTTACTTAGTTACAGTAACTTTTAGAGTTCCATCAAGTTTCTGAAATGTTAAAATTAATCCTTTGATATTCTTCTAATCTAATGTTTATTTCTACTGTTCTAATTCTCTAAGGTGACTGAAGGGATGGTTTCTCTTTGAACAGCTAATATTCTATTTTCCTGCAAAAGTTGCTTGAAAATATAAGGGCTTTCATTAGTTGACTACACTGAACATTTATTATGTACAAAAATACATGCTCATCATTGAATATTATGTAAGAATCTTGTATGCAATTGTTTCAATTCTTGTCAGTTGTCCACTGTGGGGATTAGTTTCTCTTTGCTAGTCCAATCATGAAATGCTTGTGAGAAAAACATGATACTTATTGAGAATGTGATTTTCTAAACCAGAAAACCACAAATAAGTTTAAATGTGTTCTGATGTCCTAGAGTGATACATTTCTTTTGCAGGCATGGTTTTGAAAATATCTGTATCACCAGCATAATGTTTGATTTTATTTTATATATTTCTTAATTGACATTTTGTAAATGAAGAATTATTACATCCTAAACATTTTTGCATATTAATATAAGAGAAGAAATTCCTTAAGCAGCAGTTGTAGCTGGATACTCTTGTTCTTTTTCTAATGTGGATAATCCACTACAAAAATCCTGTCTTGTAACCTGCCCAATGAGTAGTTCTTTTGTAATCTTCCATGTTTGAACATGACAAGGTGAATAATAACAAGCTAAAATACTGTGTGAAGTATTGTATTTATTTATTTACTGCATTTATATACCGCTTTTCTCACCCCTGAGGGGACTCAAAGCGTGAACAACCTAATAGTATGTTCAAATATTTATTGCCATAGGTTAAGAGATGATTTGGAAGAAATTCTTGGCGTGACATATTTCACCTTGGCCACAAACTGACTAAAGAGCTGAAGACAAATTACCATTGTTTTAGCCTTAGCTGTTTGTCTGCAATATGAGTTTAATACTCATGCAGAGATTATGTAGAGTAATCATTTATTGAAATATGGAAGACATATGAGAAGTATCTTTGAATTGGTAAAGGTGCTGTGTTTCAACTCCAACTTTTAGGATTGGACTTCAAGTTCTTACTATCTCCAGCAATCAGTTGCTCTTACTTTATAGGTCCATACAATGTCTACACTGGTTTTGATAATGCTGCTCTTACCCGTTTAGCTCAAAACAGGATTTAAGACAACTTAATTTCTTAAGCTGCAATGGGAAGAACTGTGAGACTGATTCTTAAAGTGCGGTGGGGTGGAGGTTTTAGGCTTGTGTCTGAATGCATTTATAATTGAGAGAAATGTCAAAGTTTAATCAGAATATGCAGAACACTGTCACAGGTTCTAAGCACTTAATTCTACATTCCTTTATTAAGTTTTAAATATATTCTAAGTTTGAATACCCTGACAATTGATAACGTTGATTAAAACAATACCACAACAAAAATACAATAAAGATAATTGAATTTAAATAGTAAAAAATACAATCATATAATAAAATCAGATGTAAACAGCAAAATCTGAGACCATTAAAAGTGCAAGAAAAGAAAAGTCCATGTCTTCTGGATTTTTAATGCTATCTTTAATTGGGGAGAGCATTCAGAGTAGAAAAATTGCTGGATTTGTTACATATTCTTTTGTGCAACTATTTTCCTTTTCAAATTTTATTGTACTATACAGTATTTTGCTTGTTTATGTTGCTTTGCAGTTCTCACTAAAGGCAACAATGTGTTCCTTCTTCGAGAATACTAGTTGGTTGGACGCTGCAAGATACCACCGCTAAGAAATCTCTGGTTTGAATTCATCTGTTAGGAATAAACAGACAAATAAACAGTTGGTCATGGTGGCTAGAGTCCTAATATTGATCTCATGTATTGCTGAATTGAGCAAAATGTCAAACTCATGACATATACGTGATGTCTGATCCTATGATGCATTCTCATTCTTTAGCCATAAAAGATTAGAAACAGGACTACATGAGATGATAGATAACACTGCAAAGACAATCTGTCCTTGTATGTAGTATATGAAGGAATTTAGTATAATACACTCTAAATCAATTGCATTAAGTTGATTTTTACATGCATTCAATTGAGTTTATTTATCTCTTGAAAACAAATGATAAGAGATGCATCAACAATTATTGTTGTAATTTGATGCATTAATTCGTTTCTTTCTTTACCATTCTACACTAATTGAATTTTATTTGTTATATTGATAGCCTGCCTTTCCTTCAGTGAGCTCAGACAAGAATCCATACTTCCTCTCCACTTTATCGTCACAACAGCTCTATCAAGTAGGTCAGTCTGAGAAAGTAACTGACATAAGGTCTCATGGCTCATTGGCAACTGGAACTTGGATCTCCCAAGTGTAATTCCTACACTAACATCTCTGCTTTGCTGCTATTTCAAAAGCCATTTAGAAATCTCTTAAGAAGGATTTGTTCTGAATGACGTAGCTCTGTCTTAGCCTTAGACCACAAACGCATGCCTGATCATGAACTTCCTGTCTCTGTATGTGTAATGAAGCTTCAGAAAATACAATGAGAGTATTTTGGAGATTCTGATTATAGTAAGAGAAGAAAGTATTTGAAGGGAGTCTGCAGGATTTGGGAGGACGTCCAGTGTCTTCATCTTCTAGTTCCGCCTATTTATTAAGGCCTTTAAATGTTTCAGTTGGCACCAAGAGAATTGTCATACAAAGAAATAAGAAGGAGAAATATTTTAACCCTATTCATACATGGGAAATAATAGAGATGATAAATGTCACTCCAGCATGTATATGTAGCCCACAAGGTGAAGGTTTCTAATCATATCTTCATATATTGAATAGGGTTGTATATCTTTGTGACAAAAAACAGCGATCGGGCAAGACAGTGTAAAAAATGCTGCTAAAAAGGCCACTTCAGGATAAAAAGCAAAAATTTTGTCCTCTAAAGATTTATTTGCGTAATACTAAAATACTTGCTTGGGTTTCTGAGAAGTCTAGTTGCTTGTGATCATCACATGCTGTCTGCTACTTGGAATAACATTGTTTTCAACTATTCAGAAACCTTTCCCCCTCTCAATATAGCAAAACAAAGTATTTAAGTATTTAACTGAAGTGACCTGGAGAATTGGCAAAGTTTATGTAATCTTATATCTGCTTTAATGTTTACTTTAATACTGTAGGCATTGCTGTTCTTAATGAAACTGAGGTAGAACTTATATATGTCAGTATTATTGCATAAATGGTGGCACAACATGTTCTTGTATTTGTGAATTCATGCTTTTGCTAATCTGTTCTAATAACTTTTACTTTTTGTAAACAGGATCTGGAAAGACCATACAGGATTTTTGTTGATTTCTTCAGTGAAAGCAGAACTAAACACTTTAATTTTACTGCAGTTTCTTGATTTGTGGGACAAGGAATTTTAGTATTTATTAAATGATTTGGCAATTGTTTAATTGATTCACATTTAACACTCTCCCACTCTTCTGACTTCAGTGGGACCTATGTGTTGACCTAAATGTTAAATTGCCGTATTGATCATGAATTGCATTAATTATCTTCTTAGTTTTTTTTAATTTTCTTGCAAAAGTGTGTTGAGAACAAATGAAAGTTGTTTCACTGTCTTTAATTAATCTATAGGCATTTACTTTTTGAGATCTAATAGTTTTTAAAATCTTGGCGATTAAGTAATTGTATTTTGGGTGAGAGCACTTTAAATTGATTGTGTTTCTTCACTTTATTTTAGTTTATACACTGATTTAGGAATGTTCCAGTCACAAAAACTATATATGTTATCTAATAAGACGTGCATGCTGTACCACAGTCTGTAATTACTTTGTACTAAATTTAATTACCATACCCATCAGTGAGGTAATTTGAAACCACAGAGATAGGGTCAATATCCAGTAATATCTCTCTTAATAGCTGTTTGCCTAACTCTGTTCACAGTTATGTGATGTTTTCCTTCCCTTCTTAAGCTAAATTTATGAAGTTCCTTATGGGTCCAAATGTGGCATTTAGTAAATATTGCCTCTACTGTTTGCTTGGTTTTAGTAATTGGGTTGACTCTTACTTTTAACTTAGATGTTTGGATTCAAAGATAAAATACTTTTGATACCTGTATTTTTACTTAAATGCAAAATCAGCATAGTTGTGCAACATTGTTTCCAATTGGTTTAAAACATGATTCCAAGGCAATGTGGCGACCTTTACTGTACAGATTTACTTTTCATAAAATACTGTCTTCCTACATGTGTCTCACAAATTGTTTGAAGACTAGAAAGGGGGTGGGCAGTGGGGGACACAGCCCTTCCAATTTTCCAAGGCTTCATGTTTGATTCTTATTGGCTCAAGCCATTCTTGCTCTGCACAAGGTTATTAGTAGATGAGTATTTGCTCATAAATCTTACAACAGGATTTCCTGTTGTTGCTGTTAACTGGAAAGTACTTTTGAATATTAACATATGTATTATTATTCATCATTATTTTAGGTTCTGGAATTTAGGGCTATTGTGCAGAATTGCTTCTAGTCTGATAAGTTTTTAAAGCAGTGTTTCCTAATACTGCACACGATTGCATACTGTACTGCAGTTAAGGTTCACTGAAATGCAGCGGTATAAACAACACTAAATACTTTCATGTTCCCTTAGGGAGGCAGTGGTTTTCAACTTGTGGGTCCCCAGGTGTTTTGACCTACAACTCCCAGAAATCCCAGCCAGTTTATCATCTGTTAGGATTTCTGGGAGTTGAAGGCCAAAACATCTGGGGATCCGCAGGTTGAGGGCCACTCCCTTGGGCACTTCCTATACTTGCTTTTGGTCTCTATGCGATTACTTAATGAATGTTGTGTCTGTCTGTGAGCAGTCAGAAATTGTGACACCATTTAAACAATTTAAGCTGATACACACATAAATAACAACTGCCTTCTCAATTGTGGTTATGTGGGCTAGTCTTGGTCTCCTTCCACTTCACAAAATAATCTTGATTCAGGAATAATATTTAATAATCTCTTTATCATTACCTGTTCTGGGTCAGAATATTGTCCCTATTGCCCTGGATGCTTATGCACCAGAGGTCAAAATATACCCTTGGGATACTTGGAGACTGCAGTTAGATGTGTGAACCATCTTTCAGGACCACTTCAGACATTTTCACTCCCTCAGATATTACCACAGGTGAGCTCAGGAGATGATCATATTGATGCACTGATATCTTGTTTCTCTAGCCTTAGGGAAGGAGAACACTAGCAAACATCAGTTCCTCCCCAGAACTCTCCTGTGGACTGAATAATTTCTGTTGAGGTTCCAGATCTTAAGAGAAGCACTTTAATGTATATATCTGAATTTTGTTTTTAAAGGATTTGATTTCTTTTGTTTTTATACAAAACTGTAAACATAGTTCTTCTTTGTGATCTCTGTGAATCACACAAATGGCTTGGTGGGACCTGCTTATATATACTGGCATTGAGAGTGGGCGATCTTTAGCGCTCAAAAAGATTTGGAGCCTTGCTCTGCACAGGCGCAAAATGGCCCATTTGTGTGATTTCACAGACGATCACTAGAAGAAACACAGATACTGGTAAGCAACCGCTATCCTTTTTTCTTCTTTCTTTAAAAAAAAATTGGCAAAGTTTTTTTCTTGAAAAGATGGGAAATGTTAAAGCAATAAGTGATAGGTTGATGATGGAAATTATGTTTACTTTCAGAGAGAACAGGAAATGAGAATGGGTGATATGGGTCCTCGTGGAGCATTAAACATGGGAGGTAGGGATCTGAAGCAAAAGGCTCTTGTTTTGAAAGCAACTTTGAGACTGTACATGTTACTCATTAGTATTAAATATTCTTGTAACAAACCTGTAGTCTGGTAAAATATGATCTCCAGTAACTTTATTTCAGTTGTAATCATTTTTATTTATATATTGGAAAATGCAAACATACAAGATCAACAATGACTGGAAGATAAGAGTTTACCAATGGTGTGTCATTTTCTTTTTAGTTTTTTTTTTCTGGAAAAAACACAAACTTGCACTTAGTATAAGAAGGCATTTTACCTTTTTAAAGTTACTTCTTGGTGATTTACCAATTTTATCTCTTGAATATGATACTGTATATTGCAATTTGAGTTTTAATCTGGAATATGATTGAAAGCAAAGTACAATTAAGTATTTAAACTCCTTAAACATTTGCCTATGTCTCAGCTTCATTTTATTGGAACTTAGATGAGTACACTTTTGTGAAACAATATATGTACTTTAAAAGTTAAGAATATATGTTCAAAATCACAAAGGTTTTTATCTTGGACTAAATCAAATCTATTTACCCCCTGCTGGTATTTTGCAATTGTTACATTCCATCTTCATGCTTGAATTCTCATACTTCAACTGCTACTAAGTGTGTTTGCCCATTATTGTGCAACCATCAGAATGCATTTCTGACCACTGAGAAATCGGTAGTGAATAAACTTAAGCTAATCTTTGTTGAAACTTATTTCTTTGCTCTTGTGAATGATCTGTGCTGAAACCAGCTGCAGAGATCTCCTTTGGAGTAGGTTTTTAGTTGCATGAGATCTACAGGAATAAGGGGGAATTGCCAATACTGTTGGAAGCAGCATAATCCAATGGAAGTATGTTATAAATGAAACCCTAGTTCAAATTCATCCTATCTGGAAAATAGGATAGTGTGTTCAAGCTGGATAATGTTTCTGTTGTAGCCCCAATATGATGGATGTCCTGTTGTTAGAGCTATCCATTCTGTTTTTTCTTTCTCTTGTAGTAAATCTACAATCTTCACTTCTAAATTATTTCATTTTTAATTATTATTTTTTCTACAGTGTTGTTTATATATACCGTTCCTACCCCACATATGCCCACCTAGGTACTTTGTGTTTTAAATAAGCGTTGCTGTATCCTGTTTTTTTTTTAATGCTAAGAACATTTGTGTTGACTGACTAGGATTAAAGTATTAATTTTATATCTTAGTAGTAAAACATAGTACCAAACCATGGATAATGAAGTGAGAAAGACATAGTTTTACTGCTTATCACTAAACCATGGTTATTATTAGAAATAGTGTTAGAAAAGTGCAAGGCCTGAATATACCAAAGGCACCAGATCTGTCTGATCTTGGAAGAAAACAGGACCAGCCCTGTTTAGTATTTGGAGGAGAAGCTGCTAATACATACCGGATATTGTAGACTATATTTCAGAGACTGGAACTGGCACACTGAAAATTCCTTGCCTAAGAGACACCTATGAAATTAATGGGGTCTATAAGTCAACTGGTGACTTGAAGGCACAGAAATTCACAAGAATAATGTGATGATTTAGGAAAGAGGCCTTCCTTTCCAAATGTTGGAACAGTTTAAGATGTATGTACTTTTGAAATATTTTCCCGCAGTATCTTCATACTTAGTGAAGATTACCAGGGTCCCCTAGTGGTGCAGCGGGTTAAACCACTGAGCTGCTGAACTTGCTGACTGAAAGGTTGGCAGTTCGAATCTGGGGAGCAGGGTGAGCTCCCGTTGTTAGGCCCAGCTTCTGCCAATTTTGCAAATGTGAGATCAGTAGGTACCTCTTCTGCAGGAAGGTAACGGCACTCCATACAGTCATGCCGGCCACATGGCCTTGGAGATGTCTACAGACAACGCTGGTTCTTCAGCTTAGAAATGGAGATGAGCACCACCCCTCAGAGTCGGACACAACTAGACTTAATGTCTGGGGAAACCTATACCTTTTTTTACCATTTAAGTCAATGTGTAACTGCTTAATAAGAATAAATGCTAACTTTTAGAATATCTTCGTATGAATGCAGTATATTCAAGAGTGCCATGGATTTAATTTTAGATTTTGATTTGCAAAACAACATGTCACAAATACTGTGCCTTATAAGGAAAAGTAGGTAGACTATTGTTTGAAAATAATGGTTTCCAGTGGACTGCACTCAGTTGCTTTTCCTCTTATCTGTGTGCATTTTGTTGTAATATAAAGTAACTTAAGTATTGTTTACTACGCATTTCCAAACTTTAGAAGAGTTTCACAAGGTTTTATAACTATACCAGGTTGGTCTGCTGTGACAACTGAATGTCCCAAACCGGTAATGCTTGAGCTTACATTGGTTTTCCCTGTCTCCTCCAGTTGGCAATACCCCATGTCCAATTTTCTGTAGAATGTTGCAAAAGGATTATAAAATGTCACTATTTTATTAGCCACTTGCAATTTAGAAGTGAGAAACTGGTGATATGGAAAAAAACTGTTAATATATAAATACATATACTATCATTGTGGCATTTAGAATTAGTGATAGTTCCACAGTTGCTGCAGATATATAGGTAAAATTAACAAAATTGAAGCATGTAAATTTAATTTGAATGGTAATTTTCAATGACTCTTGCTTAAAACCAGAAAATGTGAGTGAATGTACAGTCTCAAAGCATAAACATATTTTCTTTCAAATAATGTATGTTTTGTATAGTTTTTACTTGTACATTTTTAATTCTCCGAAATTCAGTTAGGACAGCTCTAAGTGTAGACTGTTTTGCATAGATGCCTTTAGCCCAGCACCTGCTGGTACCCAAGGTCCTCCTCCACCACCTCCAATGATGGGTATGAATATGAACAACAGAGGAGCATTGCCTGGCCCTGCAATGGGCCCTGGTCCTTCCTTGGGTCCAGAAGGAACTGCAAACATTGGAACCCCAATGATGCCAGATAATGGAGCTGTGGTAATGTATCATAAAATTTAAATTTTCTTCTCTGGCTCATGATGGCACATTTCTTTGCCTCAAGGATAACTTCACACTAAAATCAGGTTTGCAGTACAATCTTTGAGGTCCTCCTTTTCTATTATGCATGAACAATTTTACTCAAATTTAGTTGCCTTTTTTTCCCATTTGTAAATCAGTTTTAATATTTCAGACCATTTTATGTGAACCTTGCATTCATGGACAATTAATGTCACATGTATTCATCAAAATGACATCCCATGAAAAACAAAATACTACGGTTATATATGGCTTTTATAGGCAAGTCATATCTAAGAAAAATGTTTATTTTATAATAAGAGACAGATATGCACATATGAATATGCAATGCACTGGCATTATAAATAGTGTGAAGATATCTTTGAATAATGTTTTTGAAAAATGAATTTAATTATCTTGCTGGTTATCTGTGAGTTGTAATTGTAAAACCACGTGTGTCACTGAATGCTAGTATCGGATTTTCTGAAGGCCAGAATCCATTCAACATTTGATTGCTAAGGACATATACAAGATATAACTATTGAAACATACAAAGATTTTATTTTTATTTATTTTATTTTTTTGTCGTGTCAGGAGCGACCTGAGAAACTGCAAGTCGCTTCTGGTGTGAGAGAATTGGCCGTCAGCAAGGACATTGCCCAGGGGACGCCCAGATGATTTGTTTTTTTTTTTTTTTTTTTACAAAGATGAACAAAAGACATTCATTATCTTGGCCGTAGCAACTCAGAAATCTTTTTTATTTCTCAAAGAAAACATATACAGTATATGCCATAGAGCTATTGTAAGGGCAGATTAGACCTCCAGTTCTTCTATTTTGCTTTATTAGTTCCCATTGCCGAAAAGGGCAAGTTTTTTTTTTCAAAAAACACCTTAAGTTTATTTCAATTAGTAAAACTGTTGTAGCCAAATAACTACAATCCAGGTTGTCTGGGTAGAGGGCTTCTGTGGAATGTCATACTTTCAATAGGCATGCATAATTTCTTGAGGTTTTCAAAATAATTCATTTTGGAATTAAATTTTCATGAGCGATCTCACATAAATAGGTAGTTTAATAGATTAACTAGAGCCTGAATCATAATACAAAAATAGGCAGGTGGGCTTTTTTCTCTATTTTTTTTCATAGAAGAACCAACTATTACTTGGAAGGACAAAAATTCTTTGTCCTTCATGAAATGGGTTATTTTGTTACTATACCAAAATCTGTTATAGTATAAGTACAGGAATCCATATTACAAACTGATGGATTTACACCAGTTTGCACAATAATTACATTTGTGTTTCATACAGTGACATTTTCTGTCATAACAAATATTGCCAAGTTTCAGCTGATAGGACCAATTTAGGATTTGTGGACTATTGCTGAAAATAAAAGTTGTTTCTTGAAAGTTTAGTATCAGTTAATTTGAACTGTAGGTTTTGCTCTTGAGCAAAAAAAAAAAAAGAAATTAAATTTTGTCGTCTATATTTTAAAATTATTTTATAAATAAGTCTTTATAATGAGCTGTATCTATGTTATGCAAACAAACTTCATACAATAAGACCTCCCCATTCTCTTCTTCACGCTGCCTTCCCTCTGCTTCTCTACTTTACAAGGCTCCCCCCTCAAAAAAAACTTATTTGGGGATACAGCATGGGGAAAGAGAGATGGTAAAGTGCTAAAATTGTTTGCTTTTCCAGCAGACAAACAGTATGTTTGGAACTGTTTTCTCCAGTTGCTAGTTATTTCAAATCCAAAGTGTAGATCAGGAAGACATTGATGTCCCAGATTTGAGGGCTGTATGTGCTTCCTGCCAAATTTGGGGAGGGCTCCCCCTCACTACCCCATAATATTTTGTAAATTAAAATAAAAATGCTGAAATAGTCCACGTTCCCAGGCTGCTCCTGCCAGTCTGTGTTGGGCCCAAGAGAAACTTTTTTTTCCAACTATGAGTGGTCAAAATTCACTTTTTGTTTTGGAAGATGGTTTTTGCAACCTGAAACTAGACTAGGCCCCGAATATGGTTATTTCACACTATAAAGCCCCTAGAAGGTGTGGTTTCAGCCATTTAAAAATTACAGTGAGCAGACTAAGGTCCTTTCATATTGGCTTATGGGGCACAGTTTGCCTACTCCAGAAATAAACAATGAGCATAATAAAAAGGGATTCACTGTATGGTAATAAAATCCTGTTTTAAGCCAGTGACGTGCATTCTAACTCAAATGAGTGAAGGCATTTCAAATTATTTATTTATTTATTTATTTATTTCCGTCACTTTTACCCCGCCCTTCTCACCCCCTAGGGGGGACTCAGGGCGGCTTACAGAGAAAGGCACAATTCGATGCCTTGTCACATATACATACATATATAAAAACTATTAAGCAATTACAAATTAAAAATTAAATCATCAATACACAGTAATACTAAAACACAGTAGTAGGTTATTGTTTTCTTTGCTGCCTGCTGTGCCTCCTGAAAATCCATTTCTGTGGTTAGGAGAGCTGTTGCAGGTTCATGACCTGGAAGAGAAAGTAGAAGCTCTTGAATGTATTCCCCACCCCAGTAACCAGAAATGCCTTTATGCAGCGATACCTTCTTGATCACAGTTTTAACTTTGGGTCACATGGCGTTTCTGATACTTTGTGATATTTGAGTCTCTTTTTTGGCTCTTTGCAAGTTGTATATTGTTTTGTATCTGAAAGAAGGGAGCAGAATAGTGAATTCAATTTGGGAACCAATATTCAATATGCACAATGTTCAGATGTATATACTGTAGCTAGAATGTAGTAATTCTTAGAGCAGATTCATTAGAATCATTAAGACTTAGATTACATATAATTTCCATTTATTTTATTTGATCTACTCGAACCATTCCTGTGTTTCGTTCTAAAGATGTATCTGGCTTTGATTATGCTTTTCCTTCATGGCCGGGGGTTGGATTACATGGCCCATATGGTCTCTTCCAACTCTATTATTCTGTGATTCAAAAGAAAACTACATGATTTGTCTTGATTTTTTGTTGGTAAATCTAAGCCTTTCTGAGCATGCTAACATTTTTATTTTTAATTTCAAAATCTGTTTATGCAGGCAGTCCTCAAGTAACAAATGTCTGACTTAAAAACAACTAATAGTTAAGAACAGGGGTGAGACAACAGGAAGTGAGAGAAATCTAGCCCTTGGAAGGCAAATTCACTCCTGAAAGAATTGTCATTGTGTCTCTACTGAAGCTTTATCACAAATCCATGTTTCCACAGCAAGCCAGATTTTTCAAAATCCAATCATCACAGGGAAAGAAAGTGCTGTGCAATCTTCTGAACAGGGGCACAGGCAACAAAACACAACACAGGGGTGTTAACCCTTCCCTATGCTATCTAAAGCTTTGGCTGGAGTTACACTTAACATGTATCTGTTCCGATTTACATAAAAATCCAGGTTAAGAACAAACTAACAGAACCCATCTTGTTTGTAACTTGGGGACTGCCTGTAGTTTATAATAAATTATAAGCAGATACATTTTTTATAAACTGAATCTTGGTTTACTCGCTTAAAGATATAGAATCAAGAGGGATCTAGAGGCTTAATGGGCGAATGGCATGTAATTGATAACTTCATTCTGAGCAGTCATTCATATCTGAGTTACTCTTGGCTCTATTACCTCTGGCTAGCCTATTTTCTTAGTTCAATTTTCTTTGACTTAGTACATTGGTAGTCACAATTAACTTATATTTCACTTACTTTTAAAATAATGACTAAAAATTATTTGCTCCTTTCTTCCTTCTATGTATCATCCTGATTCTGCTGGATTATCTGCTGACCTTCATGAAAACACCACTCCCTCTTTTTTGTTGTAATTCCAATGGTGGTTTGTTCTAAATGGACATGATATAGCATTCTGAGAGATTTCCTCAAGGAGGCCCACCGCAAATGGGTTCACCTATGGTTAGTAGGTCAGGCTCTGAAACTCCTCAGCCAGCTATGGGTGGTGTAGGTGCTGTCAGTAGCGGACCCGGTGGCTTTGGTAGAGGAACCCCAGGGGGCAGCTTTGACGGACCTAACAAGCGGCGCAGATACTGAAACCTTTATTTCATATTATTGAGAAAACTGAATGACTACCCGGTGTTATGCCTTTATAATTTTAGCTGTTACTTTCAGAACGGTTTAATTGTTAATATAGTCATGAAATTTTTTTTGTAAACTTTTGACTTTTGTATTCACTCATAGCCTTTAGTATAGAGGAGAAATAATGTTTCATTTTGTATGTCAGTTGTTTGTGACTTCAGCAAAATATAATGTGAACATGCTGTGAAATTTGTGAGTTACATGCTTACAATAAAATATAAAATCAGTTTAAATGGTTCTGAAACATTGTTATAAATACTGTCCTTGACTTTAATTGTGAGCAATCATTTTAATTTTTTCATTATAATGCTTGTCGTTTGAAAGAAAAAAAATCTTTATCCATTGTTAACTGTATGCAAATGAAAAGTCTGCTTGCAGAACACAAGTAGAATAGATGCTGAGGCTTGAGCAACTTTAGAATAAGTGAAACATCCAGTAAGCCATTGCAGATTTGTTTTTAAAATGTTACTTCTCACCGGTGTGTACAAATCTAGTTAATGGGATTGTCATCGTAATGTATCCTGTGTTCAACTCTCAAATAAACACTTGAAAAACATTCAAGTAGTAAATATTCACGTGTAATTTCATAGTCATAGATTTTTAGACCATTGTATTTATTTATAAAACTGCACAGTAATCGTGGTTTTAAAACTATATTCTGCATAGCAATGGTGATTATTTTGATTTTGTAGATACGATGATACCTTTGTAGGAGATTCATTACCGGACTGTATTTTCCTGCCATGTCTCCTTCCTTGAAAAGTCTCTGCTTCCTTTTACTAAAGTTACATAAATATTTCTAAATAAACAAAAATCAGGGAACTCACCCTACAATTAGTAGCAATAACTATTTCTGACATTTAGATATTGCTTCAGGCAAAATCCTTACAGTTGTGCAACCCTATTATTTTCAGTTTTATATAAACTTTCCTTAGCATAAATGTGTTGGTATCAAGAGGGCACAATGCAGAAAAGGGCGAATAAAAACATATATGATGACCATCGGTTATAAAATGCATATTAAATCTAGAAATTCTGACATATACCAGGATTGTGTTCCTACTATCAAAAGATTTTTAAAGTATAAATATTGAGTAATTGCATCTTAGCATACATTGTAAAATTGTTTTGCCTGGGTAAAACATGGTATATGAGAAAAAATTGCAACTAAATATGTTTGGTGTTATTTGATTGGAGTATTTTTTTAGCATCTGTAGTAAAACACAATTGATTTTTACTTGTGATGAATTGATAGGAATATTTACTATTTAAGAGTGTGCAAAGGGAGATAAATTAGTGTTAAGTAGTCTCACGATCAAGGATAACATTGTGGCCTGATAAGTAGGGACAATATTTTTATCACTATAGACCCATGGTATTTTTCCTTTTCTGGTGAATATTCCAGAAGCTAAATTGGACAAAAATCTGAAATATTTACTCAGTTGAATGAATTGCTTCCAATATACTTCTAATATTCTGCAAAAACATATTTAACATGTATTTGGGTGTTGTATTTATTATGCCTATCTTGGGCAAAATATCAGCTGCAGTCATTGAAATATTGTACTTTTATCCTCTCTTGTTTTCAGGTGTTGTTTTTAGCATAGCGAAATGACCATAATAATATATTTGGAGGACTGCTATATAACTACACTTAATAGTTATAGCACACAGGACTCTGCAGCTAATCACATAGTCAACAAAGCTATTGTTTTCTTTGAAAGACCAGCTAGCTTTGCATTACCGAACTGTGTTCTTGTGTGCAAAAATGTAGTTGGTTAAAGTAAGAATATACAACTTAATGCCTTTACACGCTACTATATTTTCTAAAATTGAAAGGTTTAAATAATGTAAAATTAGGTTACAAAAAACAAACACATTTCTTCTTTGAGAAATGTAAAGTGTACACAGTAGAGTATCGGTATGATCCAGTGGAGATGAGAAGTAACCATCTTCCCTTTTCACTATTGTCTTTCTCCTCATACTTCCTAAAAGCCTACTTTGGAGGGCTGGACAACCCTGTTTTTCTTTGATGCCCTGATGACTCAAACGTTCTAACATGGTGGTATGGCCACATTGGTTTTAGAACTTACATTTTAGATTCTCATCGCAGATAATATGGAGTTCTTGCGGTTTTTGAGGTTGTATTGTTAGCAAGTAGAAAATACAGCAATAGAAAAGATTGGAGAATTCTTCAGTATAATATGGGATCTCAATTTGGAAATAAGTTTACAGAGCAACTGATCAAATAATTCTTACAAAGTTTAGCAGATAGTCTCCCATTTTGCTGCTCTCTTTTCTTGCAAAAAGTTTTTCTTCAGCATATATATGTAAAATAATGCTTCTAGGGATTTGTGATAAGGCTATTTTTAGATCGTTCATAACTTCAGATCTCTTAGTGATATTTGTTCAAGACATACTACCCTTGGAGCTGCAGTATATAATTAGAGTGTCTATCAGGTTTTTTTTACAAGATTCAAACAGTTTTGCATTCATTGCAATATATGTTGAGCACTTCAATATATAACTTCAAATAGTTTTGAATAGTATTATCTCTATCAGACATTGCTTCAACCTTTTACTGTTGATAAGAATAAATACAATTTGTTTACCTTCCCTTGCAAACGTTCAAAATATACCACCTGTGTTTCAGAGGTTTAAATGTTACTAATGAGCATCCTGCATATGAATTTATCAAATAAAAGTAAATAAAAGTGATAAGCACTAGTAGTAATCGTCACTACTTTTAAAGGTAACTCTTAAGTAGGCTGTTGAATTAAAACAAAAATGTGTTCTGAGGGTTCATGCCTTCATGGAGAGGTTCTGTGAAGGGATATAAAAGGCATGGCAATTGCAGAAGATCTGGAAGCCAGTTTTACATTCAGGAAATTCTGGGGAAACAGCCTGTGAAAAAGAAACGGAACTCAAATGACCAGAAATCAGTTCCTAGTTGGAAAAGAGTGAAGCTTTTGATATTAAGAAGTGCATGTGGAAATGTGTCTGTGCTGCAACCTCTTTAAAGTGTGAATTACCATTTGTGGATCATTCTTGGCCTGAAAAAGGATGTTTTGAGGAGTCTTGTTCAATTGATGGCTGCTAAATCAACTGTGGGGTGCATGTGACTCCAGGGTCACGCTAGCTACATTCTTGGAATACAAAGTTGCAGGATTAGGTGGGGACACAGACTCCTTTTACACGGATTCCTATGTAGCTGTGCTGCATTACTCATAACCTGTTGTATGTGAGAGCCTATTTTATGTATTTCTGGTTGCCTGTCCAAAAATTCAAAAATTCTAATTCATAATCTGACATTCCTAATAATTCAACAAAATTGCTGCTTTTTAAAACATGAGTTATGATATTAATTGAAAGAAAGCTGAAATTTGAGCAGAATTATCCTGTCATGTTTTTCCACCTCATACTGTTGTGTGATATTAAGAACAAGTATTTGACTTGTTCACTTTTACAATAGAATTGTTTACTTGATGACAAGATTGTGTTCTGAATGGGGCTATATACATTGCTTTTCCTGTTGAGAAAAAGTGTAATAACTACTTAGCCTTCATTATGGAATGGTTGATAATGGTGCTGCTTTAGGCTCACCTGGATCAAACGTTTTCTGGATATATTATATTCTGGAATGATTTTTGGATAGCATTTCACTTTTACACATTGATGAAGAAGTAAAGATAGACTATAATGAATCCTTTTCCAGTTTCCCTAAACACTTCAGTGACGGTCAGTTCCACCAATCATCCTGCCCTTCCTATTAGGGGTGAAAATAGATCATGGTACTCTCTAGTGTTTTATGCCAATTCCTGCCCAGTATACAAGTTTAAAAATAATTGTCACTTGAAATAAATAAGGAACTACATGAGGATCAGTACACTGAATCAGAATCAATATAATATACAAGTGATAGGTGGAACATTAGACAGAGAGAATGGTGAGTGGCCTGCTTCATACTCCCTATGAATGTTCAAGGGGATCATCCTGGATTTTAGGTAACAGAACATTTTTTGGATGGTGCCCTCATCTTTTAACACAAAATTTTGCCTCGGTCATTCATGTCACATTAGTCTATAGAGCAGTGTTCTCAACCTGTGGTTCCCAGATGTTTTGGCCTTTAACTCTCAAAAATCCTAACAGCTGCTAAACTGGCTGGGATTTCTGGAAGTTGTAGGTCAAAACACCTAGGGACCCACAGGTTGAGAACCACTGCTCTAGAGAAATGCGTTTTATAGGGTGCTTCTTTCAACAACCAGAATCCTTAGTTAATAATAACGAATGTAGCTGTTGCAATTTGAAGCAATATATGTCATTTATAGGACAAATGCAAAATATTGTATTGCTGTTTTCAAGCCTTGGATGGCTTAGTTTTGCGTGTCTATAAGAAGGCTGCAGGAATGTGCATATACTTTCTCCATCCATGCTTTGTGATTTTGTAGCAAATAATTCTGCCATGTAAAATGTGAGCCTCAGAGCAGTTAGAAGAAAGATGGACTACAAATGGGTTGGGAGCCACATTGGTCTTCAGTAAAACTCTGGAGGGCTGTATGCTATTCTCTGTGTTTTAGGGTTTTCAATTTAAAAAAAAAACAACTGTTGAGTTCTTCTTTATGTCCTTGTTAAAGGGATTCCCCAGGTCTTAAAAAGCTCCCAAAGGTCCAATAACATGATGAAATTGAGCTCCACATCTCTTAATATTTTGGTTGTAAACCTTTCTGTTGGTGATTTACAAACAATGACATGCATATTCTGTTTTGAGTATTGCTTTAGGGGTTACCTCAGCCCTGTGAGCCTATTACAAAGAGCAGGGTAACAGCAGAGAATTGTTCCCATACTTGGACAAAATCATGTTGAAGACTGGATCAAGAAGAAAGTTAAGTGTTTTTGAATTGCGGTTTGAGGGTGTTTTTTTTTCAGAGTAAGCCATTTGGTGTTGCCCAAAATGTTAACACAGTTAATGTCACAACTGGACACCGATAGTGATTACTAATTCCACAACTATTGGGTATGGTAAATAAAAAGACTTCTCAAGTATCACAGCCAGAACAGGTTTATGCTCTCTGTATTTGTGGATTCACAGGAGAATTGGAAAGTGGAACAGTTGTGGTTTGGGATTCCCATAAGGCTAACGACGTCAAGAGATATGAATCTTCTGTGCTGGGGAGGGGCGGTTGAACAGCTCTATGCAAGGGAAGTCATCATTTGTGGAGATTGCATAAAGCACTCTTTTGAGCTGAGAGTAGATAAGGCCCCTTCCACACAGCCCTATATCCCAAAATATCAAGGCAGAAAATCCCAAATTACCTGAGGGTGCACTCAGATAACCCCAGTTCAAAGCAGATATTGTGGGATTTTCTGCCTTGATATTCTGGAATATAGGGCTGTGTGGAAGGGCCCTCAGCTAATACGGAAAGCACTTAATCAGGGACAGTCAAATTATAACAACATGGTAAGTATGACCATTTGCTAATGGTTAATGTTTGTATCCAGATACCTCTTACTCAGTAAAGAGGCCCACCCAAACTTAACAAATGGAACAAAATTTGT